AACCCACGGCGCCGCGGACGCCCGTGGAGCCGGGGGCTGAGCCGCTCCGTTGCATTTCAGGGCGCTGGGGACGTGCAGTACCAGTGCGTGCGCTGCTCCATCCAGTCTGACGGAGACAGCATCACCGTGACGGCAGAATTCGCTCCAAGCGGCTCGCAGCAGGTACACACGAAAGCCCACGCTGCCTTTGCTAAGCCCTGCTCCCTGCCAGAGGCTCGGGGTAAGGGTTTGGCTTCTACCGCATCGCAGCGGAGATGTTGCTCTTCCACGTGCGATGCTATTTTCTGAGCCTGCAGAGCAAGAGGGATGTTTTATTCGTGGCAGTGTCTCCCAGGAGGTACTTAGTCTGTGGTCTTCTTCCTTCCTTCAGAAATTGCTCCTTCTGAAATGACTTTTCCAGTTCCGCAGGCTTTCATCACTCCAGACAATTTCTCCCGAGCAGTGGTTCCACACAAGGTTACAGACGTGCGACACAGCTTGGTGGCAGCACTGCACAGAGCACTGTACTGGTCCTTACAGTCTGAGTAAGGATTTGCTGTTGCAACACGTTGTTCTGAAAAGACTGAAAAGAAAATGATATTTTGTTCCTTTCATTTCTTTTTCCGTAGTTCTTAAACAGCAGAACTGTGCTGCTGGTCCCTGGAAAAATCACCTTTGACAGAGAACGCTATCTGGGCCTGAAAGAAGAGAATCATGACGCTGAGGTATCAGAGCATCATGTAGGCAGCTTGGTCCTTCTCTTGGGGCAGGAACAAGTGAGAAATCCAGACATTTTTGCTGGATCTAGAGAACGGATCAAGTTCCCAGAGTTAAGTCCTGGACCTTTGGAAGCAAACATCTGTTCTGCCATTGAATTTAGTGAAATCGGGTGTTGACTATGGGATAAAGCAGAGGGAAGATACTTGCTAGTGCGTAGCAGAAAAGCTCCGAGTGTTCTGTATTGAACTCCCTGTACCATCTGACACTGGTGGCTATGGCAGAGGCCTCCTGTCCTCCCAGGGATTTCATTGTGAATATTCCTTCTCT